ACCTTCTACCTGATTTTTGAATTGGGGTAAACATAACACCTGAAATGTGATTTTTTCCCGTTTGAAAACCTCTTGAGATCCACTAAAGACCAATGAGGACCACTTTCTCTTTAAAAAAGCCTTATATTTTTTAGTTCCTTTTAAACGGGCCTATATTTTATTGGCATTAATCGTTCGGTGTTTGATCTTCACAATGGGATGTTATTTCTTCTTCTTGCCCCCATTAAGTTAATTCTTAAGTTCTTTGACAATAAGCACAAGGGAAAGCAGTAGCTTCAATGTGGTAACCCGTGTTGCTAAATTTTGTTTGCTATGTATATTTAAGCTACTTGGACAAGTTTTTACCTTTTGCTTGGGGAGAATTTATCAACCAAAGGGCTAATTTCTTGCTGGTCCATAATTTGCACCCCTGGATATTTAGTTATGATCCGACTTTGCAATTGAAGGTCCTTTATGTTGTTTGTTTGGGGCATTTTTCTGAAATTGTTAGAAATGTTGAGATCAAGTAGAATATAATGGCTTCAAATGGTAATACGGAATTTTATGGGGACATGGAATAGTCTCTAATTTTAACCTAAAATGCAAGCTGGAAAACTAGCATGCCACTTGCTTGACAGTGTCCAACAATATGCTTAGCTCGGATCTCCATTATTCAAAAGCTTATTCTAATCATCCTATATATTATTCGAGGTGAGTTTCACGACCTCACATATTTAAGGGTAAATTTGAGGACCTCGCATTGTGGAAAACGAGCCCTTAATTGTGAATTCATTATTGAAAAAGCATTATATGAAGCCCACGTTCCTCTAACAAGGAAGAGGCTAATTGTCAGACGTTTTCGTCCTTGCAAAAGGAGCCTTTCCTGACCTTAATCACGAGATGCTTATTCTCCACCTCACTAGATGCTTATTCATGACTCCGTGAGACTTCTTTTCCTCGCTTCTCACTATCGACGAGCCTGGCTCTAAGTCCTTGTCATTATGAGGCAAGTCACAAAGACTCCCATTGCTTGAGAGTTATTCGCGGGACGTCTATTCCCCGCCTCGCCATATGATTATTTTGGGCTCTGTAAAATGTCTTTTCCTCACCTCCCACTATCGTTGAGCTTGGTTCTAAGTCCTTGTCATACCGAATCAAGTCACTAAGACTACGATAGTTTGAGAGTTATTCGCAGGATTTATTCCCCGCCTCGCTAGACGCTAATTCCTGGGTCAACGAGATGTTTATTCCTTGCTTCACTATCATTAAGCCTGACTCTATGTCCTCATCATTCTGAGGCAAGTCACTAAGACTCTGAAAGCCTGAGAGTTATTCTTGGGGCATCTATTCTCCACCTTGCCAGATGATTATTCCTGGCTCCACGAGAGGTCTTTTCCTCGCTTCTTACTATCGTCAAGCCTGGCTCTAAGTCCTTGTCATTTTGAGGCAAGTCACTAACTCCTATAGTTTGAGAGTTATTCGCGAGACGTCTATTATTCTCCGCCTCATCAAATGATTATTTCTAGCTCCGGGAGATGTCTTTCCCCAATTCTCACTATCTTCAAGTCTGACTCTAAGTCTTCATCATTCCGAAGCAAGTCACCAAGACTCCGATAGTTCGAGAGTTATTCGCAGGATACCTATCCCCCGTGTTTCCAAATGTTTAATCTTAGCCCTACAAAATGTGTATTCTCGTACCTCACTATCGTCGAGCCTGGCTCTAAGTCCTCGTCATTCTGAGACAAGTCTCTAAGACTCCGATAGTTCAAGAGCTATTTACGGGATGTCTATCTCCCGCCTCGTTAGATGATATCCATAATAGCTTTACAAAGCTTCAACCTACTTTCCACACGTCGTCTCCTATGGGTCAAAGCTTCGGTTGAGCGTAGCACATTGGCTTTGCAAAGCTTCTAGCCATCCCTCATGCGTCATCCCCTATAGGTCAGTGCCTCGGTAAAGATTGGGTCTAGGCACGGGTCGGTTCGGTTCGATTTTAAAGAGAACCGAACCGAACCAAAAATTTTCGGGTATTTAGTAAATGGAACCGTCGAGTTCAAATATAATTATGGAACTATTCGGGTTCGGTTTTGTACTATAATTAAATTTTGTTACATTTATAACAATACTACATAAACTAATAGTTGGGCCAAATACTATATATACAAGGCTAGTCCCGTGCAGTCGGGCTCAATATTAAACAAATAATTGGGCCAAAAAATTGGATTTAGAAATTGGGTTGGGCTGGGCTAGCTAGGCATGGACTTGAGAGTTGGAGCATTAATCACTTAATTTGCTAATTTATTTAGAAAAGAATTAAAATTATTTGATTTATCCAATATAAAAAATTTAGAGAAATTTGGTTCTTGTTTGGTTCTCGATTCTTGGCCTAGAACTGAGAACTGAACCAAACCCATCGGTTCTTGATTCAAATACCCGTTCGGGTATTTAACTTAATAAAAACCGCACGGTTCGATTTCAGTTCGGTTCAATTAGGAAATTTTGCCTAGCCCTAGTCGAGATGAGCATAGTTGGCAGCTTTATAAAGCTTCGACCTACCTCCCACGCGTCGTCCCCTGTGGGTCAACGTCTTGGTTGAGCGTAGCACATTGGATTTACAAAAGCTTCCAGCTATCTCCCGCACGTCGTCCCTTGTTGATAAGCGCGTCGATCGAGATGAGCATACCCAGCAGCTTTACAAAGCTTCAACCTACCTCCCGCGCGTCATCCCATGTGGGTCAACACCTCAATTAAGCGTAGCATATCGACTTTACAAAGCTTTCAGCCATATCCCGTACGTTGTCCCCTGTGGGTCAGCGTCTCTATCAAGATGAGCATACCCAGAAACTTTATAAAGCTTTGACTTACCTCCCGTTGGTCGTCCCCTATAGGTCAGCCCCTTCATCAGCTTACAAAGCTTCCAACAATCTCTCACGCATCGCCCCTGTGGGTTAGTGCCTCGGTCGAGATGAGCATACCAAGCAACTTTACAAAGCTTTGACTTGCCTCCTGCGTGTCATCCCCTGTGGGTCAGGGCCTTGGTCAAGGTGAGCCTACCAAGCAGCTTTACAAAGCTTTGACCTACCTCTTGCGCGTTGTCCTCTGTGGGCCAGCGCCTCGGTTGAGCATAGCACATCAGCTTTACAAAGCTTCAAGCCATCTCCCGCATGTCGTCCACTGTTTGTCAGCGCTTTGATCGAGACAAGCCTACCAAGCAGCAATAATACACTCAGTTGATCTTAAAAAGTTCACGAATGATATAAATATTCATCCCTGAACTTGGGGAGATTATTGTTATACCTATAAATTATCATTCCATATTGGGCCATTCCAGCGCCGCCTCACTACCTTAAACTAGAACCCGCCCGTTGCCAACCCCATTATTAAAGAAGTTATTAGCAATTGAATCATTTAAATTACAGATTACCTTGACTACATTCATTTTATATTGTATTATTTAATTGTGATAGTGATTTGTCCAAATATATGGTCAAAACCTTTGATTTTATAATAAAAAAATTGAATTCAGATAGAAATTTTGATTTTGATAGTTTGAAATGTTAAAAAATCCGAAACCCATGCCCAAATTATGAATTTGGTTATAATATTCATATTTACAGATATTATGACATTTGAATCTATTTTGATTTGAAATTGTTAGTGAAGAAGGGTCAAAGTGTTGATTAGCGTAAGCAGTTATTTGTTTTAGTTACTACTAATGGCGGATTGTGCGTTGCACGATAATTATCATAATTTTTTAAGAGATTTCGTTCGGACAACAATATATTTTAGAATATGCAAATATTTAGTTATATAGTGCCAATAATGTGTAAGACAAAGTATATAATTCTGGACAATAAAGAAGAACGCGCCTTACAAGCCTTAAGGCGGTGCGGAGGTGAGGCATGTGCTCACACGACTGAGGCATATGCGTCCAAAAACGGCCTCAAAACCCTTTTATAGCTCGCCCTGTTTTGAGGCGGGCTTGAATTGGATTTTCCATGAATTTCCTTTCTTACATGACAAAATAAGACATAAATCAATCGATAGTTTACAAATTTCAAAATAGTGAACATTCAGAAAGACAGGCCACAACTACAAACGGGCTGTTGGGTCTGATATAGATGGTCGGGAAAAGGTTCAGAAATATCATTCTGACCAGAAGAAAAAATGAAATCAGACATTTGATCAATGTATATTGCATGAGTTCAAAATTTTGAATTGAAAATTTAACCTACATATATTTTAAATGCATGCGAATAAAGAAATAGAGAATAAAATAATGGACAAAAAATGGGAACGAATTTTTATTATGGCTTCACTCAAGAAAGGAAGATTAATTGGGAAAAACATCTTGAAAGTTATATCAGATTGTAGATAGAATAAAGAAATAGAGATTAAACTTCACTGAAGTCAACAACTTAGGCCAAGCACAATAACGTGAAGCACTAAAAAAAATTCGGTTACAATTACTAAAGCAACTTCCAATATTGATTAAAAAAAAAAAAAAGGTAACTAAATTAGTAACTGTTGTGATATAACATTCTAGAAATTCATACTGCAACCTCTTAAGGTCTACACTAGACCCCCAATCACAACTGCCTCTTCCAAGAATTACCAAAAATGCATAGGAGTAATCAAATAAAGTAGAGTGGGAGCATAAAAAATAAAGAATATAATACTTGAATGAGACATTTTTATAATACAAAATTTATGGGTGAAAATTTCCTCATTGAATATTTATGAAGCAACCATACTTGATGCTTACTTTTTCCAAAATAATGTCATCGCATTACATTTACTGAGCCGAAAACTCCTCATAACAAAAACGTAATGGCTACATATTTTTTTCAGTCTATAATTTGTTAATGTAGCTAACTATTGCAAGAATTTTATGACATAAAAAGTATATCAAATGCACCATGATCTACGAACTGGTAAGATGGAGGTTTTGTGGGTTGTGATTCAATTAAATTGGTTTTCTTTTAAAGAACTTCCCATAAAGAAATTCTTTAACCTTCAAATTCAATTTAGATAGCATTTCTGCTAAATATCCCCCAAAAAATATGCACTCAACAAATAAAGAAATTGAAAATACACGTCAATCTGAAACTCGAGCGCGCTTGCCTAAAAATGCAGAGTCAGACTTGAAATTCTTCATGCTTGTTTGCGCCTCCATGTATGGATTTCTAGAGAGGTTGCTTGGCTTGCTGTTTCCCACATAATATTCAAGTTAACTCGGAGGGAAAAAAATTGACAAAAAGATCGAAACCTTAAGCTTGAAAAGCAATTAGAAATAATAACTTAATATTAGGTGGTGTTGAATGATCAAAATATTTAGAATGAAAGTTTTTTGTGGACGGGAAAACAACTGTAGGAAAGTAATATCACATGATCTAAAAAATATTTAATGAGAGCAAATGAACAACCCAAAAGTCAGCAAAGCCATATTCAAGTATGATATAAGGACAGATTGCAAGAATTACACATTTCCATTGGTCTAAAACAACAAAGTAATTAGCGTTTGAAGTACTCTGCCACATCATCCTACCAGCTGATGCCATGTCACCATGAATCAACAACTGAATAATGGTTAAATGTAACAATCTTAAAGCAAAGAGTTGAAGTATACCTTTGGTGGCTTAAAAGGGTAATGAGAAGGAAAATGAATAGAAACTAAAAATACACCTCCAACATAAGGGCTATCAGAAGGCCCCATAATTGTGGCTTGCCAATGAACACATCTTCTGCTACAGGACCTAAATTAATGTTTATATGATGTGATTAACATACGTACTTACACTAAAGGCAACTATGATAGAAAATTAATATACAATAACAAATGTATACACCATAAAAGACATGCACAAAACTATAGACGCTTGAAATTGCATGAACTAAGTATAGAAATTCAACAATGTTGAAAAATCACCTAGAACACTAGATACGCTAGAAAGTTCGGCTAACGTAATATAGTGTCAAATTCAAAAGTTACCAATTCGACCTTACGTGCGGAATTAATACAATTAACAGCAACAAGTCACTATTTAATTGTTGCCTAGGTGGTTAAACATACAAGCTAGTTAATCCTATGTTGAACTGCCAGAACTGCCAATTTCCAATATGTAAAATAAACAAATCAACACAACTCACAGTTTGTTGACGGAGAAACTGAATGTGGAAAAAATACCGGGACCAAGTTAGTGATGTCCACTATACCAATTCAGCAAGTACAAGTTATACCAAACTTTGTTCCCAATCAGACCCCTATTTCAGTCTCACGATCTACTGCCGTAGATACCTCTAGCCTCCTATTAGACTTCCTAATCTACCTCCTGCAGCCCAATCTGCTATCCACTATAGCTTCTTGGTCCTTAGCTAATTGTATCACTAAGTGAAATTCCAAGAACCGCATGTTCTTGTCTAATTCACTGCGCTTGATTTCCACCTCTCTCAATTCCCAATGAGAGAGTCACCTCCTTACAAGATTAAGGAAGACACGGTGCTTTGGATTTACGAACGTTGATGTTTTTCAAATCCTTGGTTGTCGGATCACAAGATGAAAAGATTGAACTCCCCAATGAATCTTGACTTGGATCTCTTGAAGATGATATGAAAGTGTATTCAATGTTAGCACAATGTAGCAACCTCTCAAAATTCGTGCTAGGGTTATTTATATTTGAAGGTGTCTAGGTGGTATAGGGTGAGTAAAACACTTCAAAAATGTGAACTAGGGGTTTTTCCACATAGGAATGTCGCTCGAGCGAGAGCTGGCGAGAATCGAGCTAGAGGTATTCTATTTTTTTCGCTCGAGTGAAATACCAGTGAGAATGGAGGGACAGTGAGCAGTCTTCGGTATTTTTATCATAACATTCTTTTCCAATGTCCGATTGAAGTGATTCAACTTGCTTTGGAAAGTTAACTCAAAGGACTACAATTTTTTTGGAAATAGCCTTGTCCAAATTTCAACGTTTTCTAAGAGAAAAATGCATTGAGATTTATGACTGAGAATCCAAAACATAATTTGTGAAGCTCTTTGATATCTTTTAGACTTCCAATTGCATTCTAAGGATCTTATGTGATCTTCTTGGACATTTTGGACTCCTTCAACGACTTGTACACTAATTTACCTCATCTATACAAAATTGTACCCTAAGCCCTTGACTTTTACAAGAATGTTCAATTGAGTCCCTGACTCTTACAAACATACAATTACGCTCATTTTGTCTACAGAATTACCAATTACACTTATAGACCTAACAAACTTCCCCTTTGGTATTCTGTGACAAAGCCATACACAATAAGTCAGGACTATACAAATATAAATCAGGACTCTGGACACAATCTATTCTACCCAGTAAACCCAATCACTGAGTTTTGCATTCCTTGTACCTGTTTTCTGAAATCCACAAACTCACATACCCAGTGTAAAAGAAAGTGACACAAGAAATATGAGCATTAAAGCACTTAATCACAAACATGCATGCTAGTTTGAGACATGATATTGATGTCAATTAAAACACTAATTGAAACACCAATACCACTAAACATCAAAACTCAAACAGTAATGGATATAATATGGAATGCAATGCAACAATCACCCTTACTGCGAACTCTTATAAATGTAATGCAGTAAATTATTGTATTTATGTCTCTTTCCAACGACCCCTAGACATAGAACTGCAAAATTCAAGTAATGACGATTAGTGAAATCATGTGCAAATGCAAATGCAGTAGCTCTCCCCCTATGGGTATGCTCTTTTACATGTTTTTCTCCCCCTCAGTTACACTTTTCTCTCCCACTTTTTGTTACAAATGCTGAAGGGAATCATATTAAGATCAAGCTGAGCAAATAACACATAATAACTCAAAAATGCAGTTGGTAGCATGTAAAAGTAAAATTAACAAGTAGCAGACCTCCTCCATATACTCAATTTAGACCAGAATGGAGTAACAGTACAAGTTACTCGTTTGTGTAAAATGTTACTGTTCCAATGCAAGTAGGACCCCAAACCTTAATTTTGTGAAAAGAGATATGTCAATCACTGCCAATAAATATATCCATCTATTTATGAAAGTCAAACCTTGTAAGTGTAGTAGGACCTATACTTATTATTTTTACTTGTCTCCCCCTTACTGTGAGTATTTAAATTTTTCATTTTTCACATTTTCAGCTCATCATATTTTTCATGTTTAACTCCAGGTTTATTTATTTTTTATCTCGAGTGTAGGTTCTTCTCCATTATGCAACTAAGATGACCCATGTAATGAGCTTTAAGCCGGTTAACCCAAGTCAGTTGATCATAGGCACCAGGTTTTAAGAGACCCTTCATGCTTAATTGCACTAGTCAAATAGGCCCCGGAAAAGAACATTAAGATATGAGCTTCCATATAATAGGGAAAAAAAATTTGGGTTAAGGTCTACAAAAACTGGTCAATTCATGTTCAAAGTCATCCTATCAACACGTGACAACCATTCCAAATCTCACACATGCCGTAAAGTCCAACTAATAAGTTCATAGTGTATGCAGTGCAGATGGTACATTAAGACACTTATACAAATTAATCCAAATAGACCTAACCAAGAAATGAAAATTATTCTACAGCTTATCATTTTTAGCTCCTACATGATCACAACGTGCAAGTTCTAAAGTTATGTGTCATGCTGTAACGATTTCCACAATCAGCTATTTTTGTCTTTTTCAATTTTTCAATGTTTTTGTATTTTTTATTTTTCTAAAATGAATGTTCTACACACAAAATAAAATAAAGTCAAGCACACAAAGACAAAACTAAATATGCATGTGCCAAAACAAACAAGTGAAAATGCACGTGTATGAAATAAAACAAAATAAAATAAAAAAATAAACACAATACACGTGATACATGCAACAATTAAATGTCAAACGAGAACCGGGCATGCATCAAAAAATATCTTATCAAGTAGGTATATAAGTGTTCTTTCCTTTAAGAGCATCGCGGTCTACTACCAAATTCGGGAGATCGCTCTTCTTCACCCAAACCTATCTAGAACGGGGATTGTTTCGAGACAACTGTATCACCAATTGAGTCAAACGATTCACTTGATCAGCAAGGAATCCAATCTGACCAACATACACCTAGTTTTTGTCCTTTTCAAGTTCAAGCCTTTCCTATTATTCAGGTAGTGATGACATCTAGGGCGGATGTGATCGAACTCTCCACACTAAAAGCATGTCGGGATAAACTTATGACCTGTGTTATGTGGAAATTAATTTCTATACCTAGGTCGACAAGTCCTATGACGTCTAATAGAGCTACGTCCTGAAGATCTCACAATGTTAGAGATGGGTTAGTCACAATGTTAGGCTGGTCAGTAGCACAAACAAAAATGGTTTGTGAAGTACTAACAGCATTACTATCAAAACCTAGACCTCCCTTGTCACCAACTGGCTTGCCTATTCCTAGAATATTTTCTAGCTTTTCAGAACTGCTTAAAAAGGCAAGTATCTGAGACCTAGACAACTCTAGCTCACTCTCAAGGTGCTTGACCTAAATAGATAAGGTCTCATTCTCAACGGTTAGCTCACTTACTCTCCTAGAGGACATCTCATTCTTATTGGTGAGATTACTAACCTGGGCCTCTAACTGTTCTTTCTCTAACCTAAGTTCTTTCACTTTCTTGAACAGCACTTGGTTAGTAGCTATGATTTTGAGGCTTTCTTCATACATCTTCTCATAAGCTTCTTCTAGATCTTTCTCACTTCCATTCTCATCACCAAATTCTTCACTACTATTTAGGTCCTCATCCCTTTCACTCCCCTACTCGGATCCACTCTTAATACTAGCAACGAAGGTCACATATTTTCCACTCTCCTCACGTGTGGATTTCTCACTCTGATTGTCCGAGCTAGACTTATCATCAGTGAGAGTAGTATTCATTGCCTTCCCTTCAACTCTCCTCGCACTCGGGCACTCACTCCTCACATGATTGAAACCTCGACAGTTATGGTATCTCACGGATTTAGATTTTCTCCTAGATTTACATGGGCCACCTTTTTGTCTCTCTTAAGGCTTCTTCTTATTCCTAAACATTTTCTGGAATTTCTTAGCTAGGCAGGCCATTTCCTCATCATTGGGTGAATTTGAATCAGAAGATTCCATCTAGTTATTCCTAACAGATTTCAAAGCTATGTATTTTTCCTTGGCGGGATTGTCTAAGGTCAACTCATAGGTCTGGAGGGATCTAACTAACTTCGCTACCTTGATAGTGTCTATGTCCTTACTTTCCTCAATAGCTGTAACTTTCGACCTAAAACGCTCAGGTAAGGATCTAAGAATTTTTCTAACTATCTTGGCTAGAAAATTTTCTCACCTAGTTTGAAGAAGGAATTTACTATGTTATTTAAGCTCGCATAAAAGACATCAAATGTCTGTTCATTTCTCATCCTGATTTTCTCGAACCTACTGATTAGCATCTTTAACTTAGAATTTTTAACGGCCTGGGTTCCCTCATGTGTGATTTGCAAAATGTCCTAAACATCTTTAGCTACCTCACACATATATACTCTCCTAAATTCCTCGGGAGTCACAGCCATAAACAATGCATGCATGGCCTTGCTATTAAAGTTACACCTATCCAATTGTACTCTAGACCAATTTTCTACAGGGGTAGGAGTGACTACACCATCTACTATGGTACTAGAGGCAAACCAACCATTCACTATGCTTTGCCAAACACACTCATCCATGAATTTCAAAAATGCCCTCATTCTAACCTTCCAATATGCATAGTTACTACCCTCAAAGTGGGGCGGCACATTCAACGAGGTACTCATCTAGACTATGTAAGGTCAGGACACAATTTTAGGCTCTAATACCACTTGAAAAATCACTTAAAAAGCTTAGATATGCTAGAAAGTTCGGCTAACATGATACCGTGTTAAATTCAAATTTTATACGCTATCGAGTTTACGTTTCAAGTTACCAATTCAACCTTAGGTGCAGAATTAATACAATTAACAACAAGAAGTCACTAATTAATTGTTGTCTAGGTGGGTTGAACTGCCGATTTGCAATATGTAAATAAACAAATCAACACAACTTACAGTTTATTGATAGAGAAACCCAATGTGAAAAAAACTCCGAGACCAAGTCAATGATGTCCACTATACCAATTCAACGATTACAAGTTATACCAAACTCCGTGCCCAATCAGACCTGCTATTCCAGCCTTACGATCTACTGTCGTAGGTATCTCTAGTCTCTTGCTAGACTTCCTGATGTACCTCCTGCAACCCAATCTGCTGTCCGCTACAGTCTCTTGGTCTTTAGATAATTGTATCACCAAGTGGAATTTCAAGAACCGAATGTTCTTATCTGATTCATTGCTCTTGACGTCCACCTCTCTCAATCCCCAATGAAAAAGTCACTTTCATACAACATTAAAGAAGATACGGTGCTTTGGATTCACGAACCTTGATGTTTTTCAAATCTTTGGTTGTCGGGTCACAAGATGCAAAGATTGAACTCACCAATGAATCTTGATTTGGATCTCTTGAAGATGCTATGAAAGTGTATCCAATGTTAGCACAATGTAGCAACTTCTCAAAATTCGTGTTAAAGTTTGGGTATTTATATTTGAAGGTGTCTAGGTAGTATGGGCCGAGTAAAACACTTCAAAAATGTGAAATAGGGATTTTGCTGCATAGGAATGTCGCTCGAGTGAGAGCTGGAGAGAATCGAGTGAGAGGTATTATACTTTTTCCGCTCAAGCGAAATGCCAGCGAGAATTGAGTGACAGTGAGCAGTCTTTAGTTTTATCATCATAATTTTCTTTCTTGATGTCCGATTGAGGTGATTCAACTTGCATTGGAAAGCTAACTCAAAGAGCTACGATTCTTCTAGCAGTAGCCTTGTCCAAGTTCCAACGTTTTCTCTGAGAAAAATGCATTGCAATTTACGATTGAAAATTTGAAACATAATTTGTGCGGCTCTTTGATATCCTTTAGACTTCCAATTGCATTCCAATGATCTTATTTGATCTTCTTGGACTCCTTTAATGACTTGAACACAAACTTACCTCATCTATACAAATTGCAACCTAAGCCCTTGAATTTTACAAGAATTTTCAATTGAGTCCCTGACTTTTACAAACATATAATTACGCCCATTTTGTTTGAGAATTGCCAATTACACTTATAGATCTAAAAAATGTTTACATGCCAACACTTTCCATAAACGCAGTTGATGAAAAGAAAAGAAAAGAAAAAAGCATTATGAGCAATACCTTATCCCCTTTTTGTAGTTTCCGTTCGGTAATATTGAGTATCTCTCACCCCAAAAGCTAGTTCAAGCGGTGAGGCTTTTCCTCACACTTATAAACTGGATACCAATCCCATCCACAATCGATGTGGGACAACTTCAATGATCTTTTCTTCATACATCGAGCTTTGTGAGAGACCAAACACGTCTCTCCCCACACATCGAAAGCCCTGTGGAAGACCAAACCCGTCTCTCTCTCACACAAACTCATATCTCCATGACTGTTGAGCTGTATACTTGTTGATAAATCGGGCTCTGAAGTATGATATTTCATAACTAGATCATAATACAAGGTTTTCTTTGTGGCAAGTAAAGATGAACCTTGAGGACAAGGTTAATTTAAGGGGAAGAAATGTCATGAATTGGACCATTTGGTTTTATTTTTATTTAATTGGGCTTGTATAGTGGGCTAGCCTAAGCCTTTTACTTTGAAGGTTGTTTTTTTCTATATAGGTTGTATTGAAAGCCTTGGAAAAAGGCTGTTGAATGAATCGAAATTGAGGCTTTGGCTTGCAGGCATCGTTTTCTTCCCTTCTCCCCTTCCTTGTTCCTTCTCTGGTTCTACCCTCTTCTTGCTGCTTTCTTTCTTCTTCTACTTCTTCTCTGCTGCTGTCTTCTTCTTGTTGTGTTCTGCTTTTCTTCCTCTTCTTTCTCCTTCTTCTGTTCTTCTTCTAGTCTTCTTCTTCTCATTTCGATTGGAAATAAACTGGTTTTGGTTGAAGTTGAGCTCCAACCATAAGAATGATTTCTCTGAATGATCAAAAAAGAATTAGAAGAACTTTTAAAATCCCTTCAAAAAGAAGTAATAAATGAGAAACCAAAATCCAACAAAATTAGAACCTTACCCGACGGAGATCGTGTTGCCACTTCACAAAGCCAATGTACAAATTGTGTAGATTTTTTTTTATAGAGAATTTCACAAAACTTTGAACTAAAAACAAAAAAAAAATTAAAAAAATAGAGTGGGAGATCGACTAAAAGGGAAAACTATAAAATCAACATACTTGAGCTTCTCGATCTTCCATTTTGATCGCAATTTTTTGAATCTTTTTCACACCTAAACAAAAGTTGCAAATGAAAAGGCAAAAAGAAACTATCAGCTAACCGTATAGGCAAAAAAATTGTAAACATATATATACAGAAGAAGAGCAAAATGAAGCTAAATAAAAGCCAGATGAAGCTGTCGCTCATAATCTATAGGATGTTTATGTGAAAATGGCTCCAAAGTATTCTATCTGTAGAAAATTAATACACAGACGAAGTTAGATTTCAAGTACCAACAATAATGAGCCCTGATCAGAAAGGGTTCGAAATAGACAATAAAATATAGAGGATTTTTCTGCGAAATTTATTAGAGTTTCTGACGTCGAGAAAAGGCTCTCAAAGGGCGAAATTGAGAGAAATGAAGTGCCAAAAGTGTCAACAGGAAAATGGATGTCTTTTGATTGTCCAATTTTGTAGAAAAGAAAAAAAAAGCATATGACATCAGCATTATGGCATAGTGACGTCTTATGAATAGTGGTAGACAACTTCTCTCTTTTATTATTGTATGTATATGTATATTGTATAATGTATAATATGTATATGTATGAGTATGTATGGAAATAGTTTTTTTTCCAATACGGTAGGTTTTAAAATTTTGATCGTACTAGTTCGATCTCAAAATTATTGATAGATTAACGAGTTTGATTATACTAGACGAATTTGTCAATGAATTGGTCTAAATTCAGTAAAACCCAAATAAACATGGTGTATTTGCAACAGAAGCTCAATAATTTAATATTAAATAATTTCATTATATTGGTTAAATAACATATTTGATTTGTCCTGACTTGAAAATAGAGTTCTAAATTAGGCCTCGTTTGTTTTTCATTTATGTAAAAATGAGAATAAAAAATATAATCATTACGACCTCACACAAGAGATCGAAATTCAAATATGATGACTTGATGTGATGGATAACGACGATATTTTTCATTTTAATAGGAAAATAATGAGAAACAAACAAAGGATTAATATTTTGTAATGTTTATAAAATAATACATAATTCTCCCTTTTTAGTTGGCAAGGATCCGAATACTTCCTGCCACTTTATTTCGAAAATTTGTGCAATTAGTCTCTAATCTTTAGGTTGTTTGAAAATTCACCCCCATCCTTTAAATTATGATATGAATTGAATTCTCAGCCCAAAATCTTAAGTTCTATTTGGATTTCTTTCATTTTTATAGTTCAGTAAAGTTGACAAAACACTATGCTCAACACTAAACATAAATAATCTTTTGAACATAAACATTTTATTCATTTTCCTTCCCAATATCTAAAAAAAATTATTTTTTTTTACGGACAAATCTCGTTATAATTAATTGAATGTATCACCACTTGTAAAGTTTTGTAAAATGTTCTTAGAAGATAATATGGTAAAATTGAAAAGTTTTATATTATTTATTTATAGTCAACTCAGACAAAGTTGTGTTTTTTCTTCACTTATTTATTGAAAATGATTTTTTTAAAGTTTATTTTCTAATTTTCTAACATGAGAAACTTTGATTTCCATTAATTTCTGAATTTATTCGGCTATTAAGGTTTTGTTTATACAAAATATTGTTTTCTTAACTATTTTCTTTGTATATTTATTTATGATTACAAAAGTTGATTACTTTTATTTTCTTTAAAAGAAATTCTGAACAAAAATGTATCTTTAATATTTTTTCAAATATCATTCTCTTTTTCAGTTATTGCTACACCATTGATCATTGGAGTATAATAGGCCCCTTGAACCAATTACAGTATTTACAAATATTAGATTTTTAATAAATTTTGATAAAAAAAAATGATGAAATGTGTGGCTAAAAAATTGTGAGGCCCATAAATCGTGTAATCATAGTAATCAGGTCACGGGTCAATGGTTCAACCAGTGAATCGATGGTTGAACGGTTGGGTCATTGTTAAATCTTAATTTTAATTAAAATATATTTTTGAAACAAATGGAAAATCATTTTGCTAAATCTGAACATATATATTGGCTCACAATAAAATACAGCTCCATCAGTTTCCTAAATGGTCAAGGATCTAGCATTTCGTGGAGGAAGCCAAGGTGCGAATCAGCCTCTTCACAAATTAAAATATAGAATTTCACGCTCGGGATTGAATCCTGACCTCTTGGCAATTTGATAAAAAAATTTGCATTGTACGGTGACCATTTAGTTCACACGTTGAACAGGATCCGGTTTGTCTTAAAGCCACCCAATTTGGGGGTAGTTTTGAGTGGTTTTATCGGTTCATGACTGGTTCCATTGTTTGTTTGTATAATTAATTAACTCAGACCAGAGTCGAACCGGATGGTGGTCCGAGCCGATTTTCATAACTATGATTAAAATTAATCATTAGCGTTGATTTAAATTAAAAATTGAATTTTCATTTATATCAAATATGGGTGGAATGTACAATCTATTTTTTTAATATCAATTTTTTTAAAAACCTCTGGAAAGGTCTATGATTTCTTACCCAAAAAAGAGATATTTTTATACAATAACTCTGGTGCATATAAACGTGACAGTGTATGATTTGCAGAAATATGATAAGAATTTTGCACTTTGCAGAAATATGATAAGAATATTGTGTGCAAAATTCTACTCAAAATAATCTCATTTCCTCTCAATTTTCGCAAAAGAACGCTTATATGCATCTTTTCAATGGCATGTTAAGACTTGGGGTTCCAACTTAAAATGTCAACCTTATTAAGATGAGTAGTCCAATATCTTTTTAAATTCGTCAATATTTCGATATTTAATCAATGTGAGATTTTCATACCTTCGTCTCATCATTCAGCGAGAGTTCCTCCAGAAACTATCTAGAACTTTCTACAAATGCTGCCATAGCTTCATTGCTCACACAAAAACGAACAGCCCAGATCAGATTAGTGGTGGAAGAAATACAAACAGCATTATGATATAAAGGAAAGGAGAAGTGAATCACCAAATTCCATAATAGAATTTATAATGGTGAAATTTTTTTATCAAGGAGAGTGTAAAGTCGTACAACGTTTCCATGACTTTAGCATAAAATTGAGAACCAACGAAAACTTGAAATAGCTGCGGCAAAGTCTGAGCTTTTGATTCTTCGATAACTATTGGCAAGGTATTTTATTCCCAAATCCATCAAGTGACGCAGGTGTGAAATGTTAAGTGAACGTAGATGAATGCAAATGCTGTGAATGATTTGAAGTGAAAGACGTATAAAACTAATACAGCAAAGGTAATGCAAATACCAGTTAGAACCTAAATTGATTTGGAAATGTCTGCATTTTCACTTATTAAAAAACAAATCTAACTGACAGAAAAGTAGCAAAATCAAGCTCTTTAATATTTCAACCACATATGGTAATCATGTCATTTACAAACTGATCGATTACAGTTGGGATTCCAGCAGCTGAAAATTCTTCCTGTGCTGCATTCACAAGCAATGAATGGATGCCACAAGATGATATTCTAACAAATTACAAAACAAGAATTTCTATTCGAAATGAATATCCATATTTGTAACAGCATTTGCAGCAGCCAACAACTCTTCATGCTCATCATCTGAACTAACTAAACAATTGAAATAAAAAGAAACAAAAGAAATAGAAAAAAGAGTGCTCTACACATGCTGGAAGTCCTATTCTAAGAGAACAAAAGTAAATATTTAGATCAAGAGTCAAAATTTATTCATAAAGAAAATTGAGTATTGTATTAGCTACATTGTGCATTTGACTTATATGAAGCTTCCTATCAGAGGACTTACCGAGTAGATGGTCCACTTGCCCTGTCGAATAAAATGTTCATCAAGTTATAAGAATTTCTCAAACTAATGAAGATGTCAGCTCTCACCAAGAGAAGAGCATATAATATAAAAAAGAGGTAAATGTAAATGAAAAAGGGGAATTATATTGAACTTCTCATTCTTTTCAAAACCAAATCTCTAAGGGTACGTTTGATTGCAAGATGGAAAATTATATGGAAAGAAAATATTCTCCAGGCAATTGAATTGTCTAGAAATTATTTCCGTGAAAATTGTCAATTAAATGCGTTTGATTGACTTAATTTTCCACTCAGAAAATATTGTACTTTTCCATCTTTTTGTGTTTGATTGTCATTATTTTCTATGAAAAATATCATTTTTTCCAACTTTTATTGTTTGATAGCCACTATTTTCCATGGAAATTGTCACTTTTTCCATGGAAAATGGTCACTTTTCCATGAAAATTATTCATTCAATTTTTTAGGACTTTCTTCCATCACAAAAGCCTGTTTAGTGAAGTGAACCAGTGCCATATTTTTTATTCTGATCCGAATGTCAACTATTTAATTAATTATAGGATACATTAATATTAACAATGTTGTTCTCATTGCTTAAGTTAAAAAGTGCACTCCTATTATGCAAGAACAATATGCTGCTAGATTGACGTCTGTCCAACATATATGAAGGAGATCTAGCAATTGCAGACCAAATACATTAACAATGTTTATCAACTCTCCTTGATTCTGTAACAGAATCTTCACTCTCTCAATTGGTGCAACAGCACTTTTTCACTATAATTGCAGCAGACCCTACCATAATAAAATCCACAGAAAATTTTTTCAGATCGTGTTGCCATCTCAAATCCCTCTCCCTTGCCCTCCGCCCCTCCCTAGACCTGCACAGTGAACATCCAAATGATGTTTCAGAAATTTTTTATCTTTTCTCTAGCTATGTTTTCCTTTTAATTCTCCTCCTCGTAGGTTTTTACCACTTTTTAAAATTAAAAACAGACTCTATGAGGTACTTTTGTAAATGAGATTAATGGACTGAAACCAAGCAGAAAGACGAGCCGAATCAACAACTGCCTGAATCGAACAGCAAGAACCCAGCAAAACACACTCTGACCAGGGCTAGCTGCAAACCGAAACTGATTAAATCACCCAAAATCTAGAGAATTTTGGACGACTAACCAGCAAAACCAAGCTATCTGAATGCAAATTCCAAGCAGGATTAACCTCCCAAACATGCAACCAATTTGACCAGCAACAACCAGAAACAAAACTGAAGTAGAACTCCAACCTAAAACTTGAGAAAAAATCGAATTGGAACAAGAAAATGAAATTCCTAATTGCTGATTCGATTTTAACTAAGAGAGTCCGAGTAAAATCAAATACAACAAGAAGAAATACCACAAAACCAAGAAAGCTCGAAAGTGCAAGAGGCACTAAAAGGGAGATTTTCTCTCTCTAACCATTATACTGACTGAGAGCTCAAAAACTTGAAACTTTCAAGACCATTGCAGTACCATTTTGGCCTGAGATTTCATTTGGCCAGCATTTAATCCTTCAAGAAACTTTAGAATCTTCAGACGGAGATCTAGCAATTGCATACCTCCAAGAAACATATCCGTATAAGCACTCACAAAAGAATTCTTCCAATAAATCCACTCAATTCGGCCCAAAAGAAATGCATACACAATCTATGAAATAAAACCCTATATTTCGAAATCGATTGAATGGATCCCCAGTTCCTATCTCTTGTGGAATAGCAAAATTTCAAATCACAGATGCAAATCTGAATCAACCAATTTCTTCAAATTTAAACTCCATACTGATGCAACTGAGTATTAAAACGCATACAAACGAAAAGGAAAGGGGAAATATGCTTGTATATACTCGTTGATCTGAGCAATGGCATGACCTTCTGCCTGAATTTCTTTTCGGTGGGTTTATGAGAGAGAATGGGAAGTAAGACGAGAATGAAGGTATTGTGGGTGAGTGGGAGAGAGAAGGAATTCCATGGAAAATAAAATCCTCCTCATGCTAGGGAAAATATTTTCCTTGATTTCATGGAAAATGTGGTCACGTGAGCAAAAGTGGGAAAACATTTTCCATGGAAAAAAATAGTAATCAAATAGTACAAAAGTAGGAAATTAGTTGGAAAAAACATATTTTCCTTGGAAAATATTGCCAATCAAACACACCCTAACTTCTTATTTGTTTTGTTATTCCATCATTTCTATTTGTACAATCAAAATAGAATTTTCCACTTCTGGAAAATATCTGCATCCATGTTTACTTTAACATTTAAAAGTTGCCCATGGTTCACAAGTGTGAGATAATAAATATGGACAGAAAGCTATGCAATCTTAGTAAATTTCACATGGACATCCCCGATGATTGGAACTCTTAACGAGGAATTTGGCAAAGCATTTGATATGCCTGATAAAGAAGTTGAATAATTCTCTTCTAAAGTTGATCATGCATCAAGATACAGTAATTAATATTTATTCAGATAGAAGTTATCTGATCATCCAGGTTTGTCTTTGAAGGCGCACAAAAGCATAGGTAAATAGTTAAATGTATGTTTAGAGGTGCAAGCTACTTTGACACTGCCTTTGCATGTTCATACTTGCTGAAGCAACATTTGAGAATTTCTCCCCGAGTCTGCAAGGGATGTTTTCTTGTAATTATCACAGACATGTAACAAAGTCTCTAACGCAACGAAATAATTCTTTATTGGGCTTTCACCCAATAGAATTTCTTCTGTACAGAAACATTTATGTGGAATTAGATGACAAAGTAGTAATTAAAAGAATCGTTAGGTGTTCCTACATAACTTACTTGAGAGAAAAAAATATCCACATAGCTTTGGAGCATGATACCCTCAAGTTGCTACATAATCCATCAAAAAATTAAGAAAATGAAAAATTAAGGATTAGGAAGTGAAGTAACTGACATTAACAAGGGATAGTTACAAAGAAATATGAAAAACTAAACAGAAGTCAGATTTACAGTCCAAAAAATAGCTGATGGAGCATCTTTAAATGACACACGGGGAAAGACAAAAATTGCGAATCTTTAACTAATAATCAGCATTAGCAATAACAATTTTTCGCTTTAAATGATGGTAGAATATATTTGCTGTATAAAAATAAAAAGAACAACAATAATTCAGATAAGTTCCTTACATATGCATGAGAGGTAAAATGTAGAAGGAGAGGTTTAATGCTGCAGAATCTAATAAACCCGTGTGAATGTATTTTAAGCCTTGAAGGAGTTGATACATGAGAAATTGATAATGTTCAGGTGTTAGATCATCATTAACCATAATCACTTGATGATGGTCAGATTCCATAAATTGAACACAGTATGGCTTGTGTTCCAGCTTCATCTTCAGATGAAGTACTATAACCTATGTTTCAGCTTCATCTAGAGCTAAAGTACTAAAATCTGTGTTCCAACCTTGTGTTCTAGCTTCATCTAGAGCCGGATTAGTATGAATAAACTTGAACTCATATGTTTTTGGAGGAAGAAATGCAAAAACAGGCAGTTGTTTTAGATGTGGGATATAATCTCCATTTTTGTCTCCGATAGCATAGATGCCATGGAAATTTCTATTCGCACATCTGGTCTAATGACATCAGCCAGCAATTGTTGTGATACTACAATCTATATCATTTTCTTCTCCCCAACATAAACCTTAACTATGTTACCAACTTCTTTTTTCATAACTATGGGTGTATCGTCAAGCTTCTTTTTAAACTTTATATATTGAAGCTGTAATGCTAAGTTCCGTGTTTGTGTACCTTTTGATTCCATTACATATTTAGACATTATTTTCTAGACTACCAAGTCCCTTTGAGTTTATTTTTAAAAGCTTCTCTTCCATTAAAATGAAGACATTATGTGCCAAAAAATAATAATAATAAATAACATAAATCAGTAGGTTAAAAGAAGAGTTCGGTAAAACCTGCCTACATACCCAAAATACAGATTTGAGGCTAATGCTTTCCTTTCCAATATATCCCAAATATGTTTTCCCTGTAGAATTTTCAACATCACAGAGTGCAACAATGCCCTTTTCCTAAAGTGTGAATGTCAAAGTTGGTAGCACATTTCTGGGATAAATATTATCATCAGCATTTTGAACCTAAAGCACAATGACAAGGCAAATGAATAGATTAGTAATTATTATTCTCATAGATAAAATAGAATGCATCACGTCATACTGTTCAGAAAATCATGATTTTCGTTAAACAATCTTCCCATGTTCATTTGTAAAATAACTTTATTACTTTCTTTTCCCGCATCACTATGTTCTTAAGACCTGAAACATAACATCTGGTATAACCCAACATCATCAAAGATTGTGTGAATGAAAAATCTATAAGGATGGCTGCGAATTTCATTATCATATTAGCAAATATACACTTAGAACCCCCAAACTGTAACCTTCCACCACAATGGAAGTTATAAAACCAGCATAATATGATCATAGTAACTTATTCATTATGTGTTGACGAAATAAACCTTCAGAGAACATATGTATAACTAAGACAGAATAAAGAATATAGAATTCAAAACTAAACACCACAGCTGATTTTAGGAGCAAAGAACCCTTACCATTGTTGCCATCAGATTCAAGTTCACGACTCTCTGATCTCTTCTTCAAACGAACCTACTGAAACTGTAAAAGAAAGGAACTGAATATTAATCTCCATAAAATAGATATACTCAAGAATGATAAGTAGATGGTGTGTTCACTATTTTGATAGAGAGAGGATTGTCAAAATCTAAAAGAAATTACAAGTAAATGACAAATATTTTATCAAAAAAATAAACCACATAATAAATTCAATTTCGAAAGGAAACACACAGAATAAGTTGAAATTCATACGGTCGCAGAAGATAAAACAAAGCACACGTAATGTTAAGAACATAAAATAAAAGGAAAAAACTGACAGACTAAATAAAAAGAATAAAAACAATCATAAATTAATTGGTAAAGACAAAAGATCCTAGTGTTACAGGTCTACTTTCTAATGCTCCAAAGTAAATCAAGCCCTTAACTTCTTCATTCTTATAAACAATTATTCTTCCTTTATGTTCAATAAATGCATTTAAAGTTCATACATGTTTATTCGCATTTTCTTTCACATGTCTTTAAGAAAAAAATGCACAACAATGGCTTAATACCAGAAACAAAGCAGAAATGTTTTGATGCTATATTAGCATGTTTCAGCTAGGTTAGATAATACATTCATTGCCTCTTTTCTCATGCTAGAACAAAGTGATATTTACTTTGCTCAATTGGCAAGTCTGGCACTCTCTTAATTGGTCCTTTCCCAGTAAGCGTCGCCCATTACTTCCCACAAAATATTTAACTCGTTGTATGACATCTATGATTCATTTAATAACCTTTAAAAACTATATATTTTGAATGAAAATAGAGTTCTCTCATTTTCATAGCTAAAGTTACTCAACAATACAAATAATTGATTGGATTATTTTCATAGCCAGAGTTCTCCTAATTTCATAGCTAAATTTACTTTCAGCTTCAAGGCAATCACTTGTTTGGAAAATATTGTTTGCTTTTCCAGTTTTAACTTTCTTTCCACCCAAAATCAGATTCATGCTACTACACTTAAAAGAAATTGTGGGCAATTCATCTTTAAGATACTTAATCTACTTCTCAGCAGCTTCTCCTGCCACCAACTCCTTTGGATTGGACCAGCTTTCCAAATTATTTCCTTCTTTTGAGCTGCCTTTTAGATGCTCTTTTGATGACAGGGTTACTATGTTATATCTCAATATAAGTATTTTAACATAAAGAGCAATACCATGATCTCTTTAGTAGCTTCTATAAAAATATATGTGATTATCAAAATAAATTTCTATTTGTTGGGCCATACTAAACATCAAAGGTGCATTGTCTTTCAAAATAACAAAAACAAGACAAGTATATTCACTTTAGAAAATTGGCACTTATGTGACGGAATTAATGTTAAGTATCGATGACAAAAAGTCTTATCCTGCATTAGCAAAATCCAAGGAGCTCAAACCAAATGAAACATCGGATTTGAATTCTTGACATGCAATTGAATAGCATCGAGCATGAAGAGAAGACGATAAAAGTACCTACTTGTAAAACATGATCAATTTGTTCATCTTAGCAGTCTCTCCATCATAATTGAGCAATAGGATCTCTCTTCTATGAGACTTTCTAGTTCGTCTGCAAGAAATGCGGTAATAACTACAATAAAAAATCATATGACTGAACCAAAGACTCATTGTTTTACATTACGCTTGATCCTAAAGGACCTCACAGTGTATCTTGCAGTGGAACAAATCAAACAATTCCATTAGATGAAATACAGAAGGGGAAAGAAAAACTAAGTTCATTTCATCACTATATATTTGGATTCTAAAAGATTAAATTACACATAGCAGAGGCATAAACTACTGCGCTATCATTAGATTATCAATAGTTAGTTGATCAAACTTTTGATGACGAAAAAACTACAGCGAACATCTTTTTGCATATATGAACTTTGAAAGAATAAATAAAACAGAGTTTTAGATAAACATGCTTCCATATCCAATTACCATCTCACCAAAGTCTTAAATCTCATTAGAAAAGAGAGTAGACCAAAGGTTACTCTACATAATTAATGAAAACTTATGAAGTTATAATATCATAGCCTATCATCTAGCAGAGTACTTTAAAGTTTACTATTATGACGATTCACGTATGACTTCCATATCAAGGAAAACAAGAATAATACTTGGGGTAGACAGTAAAGCTACAAATTGCATCATTTTAAAGTAAATGTTCGAAAAATTATACCGATTTACAATTAAAGAATGCTAAATAATTCTAAATGAAGCCAGATCTAAAACAATTAAGGAAGCTATAATCCATATTTCATTTTTAGACCTACCATTAACAAAAATTTAAGAAGCTGAGCGCTCAATAAGAAAATCAAAATTGCAGGATGTGATTAAACAATATAAATTGTTTTACAATATCCACCAAATATAGAAGTTATACGTAGAAGATATTATCGTATTTCATGTCAAAATCAAGCTATTTTATGAATTCGCAACAAACCTAGGCACGTAAATTTGATCTAGAGATTTTCCTAAAAATAAATTTGTCTGAACAAACTATGCAGTGATCCATGTAAATAATCACCAAATATATAGAACAACAAGAACTTCTAGCTTACACAAATACCTTTGCTGGATGAAATGCAAGAAAACACTCTCTTTTACTCTGAATCTCCATTGAACTATCACTCTCTTCAAACTACCTCACAGTAAAACTCGGTCCCATCCGGGATTCTTGCTTTCTATTGGAAAAAAACTAACAAAAAGGGTATTTCTCTACTTTAAAAGTAAAGTCATAACATCAATTTTCACAAAATATTTCATACCAGAATTAACTTTGGATTCAAGATTATCAAAATCATGAATAACCAAACACAATATTACGACTAACGAAAGAAAGAGAAGTCATCCTTTTTTAATAATTTCACAAATCCCCAAATCACAGGTTGCCTAAATTGAAAAAAAAAAAATTCAAGCATTAACTTGAAATAAACACAAACATACAACATAAATCAAAACCCCAGTAGAAAACAGATAACAGCAATTTGTCACCCAGCTAAAGCAAGTATTTTCTTATTTGGCTGTTGCTCTTCATCAGAACCACTTTCCAAGATCCTTTTCCCTCTCCCACTCGTATCAAATAAGGTGCACGGATAGTCGAACCCCATGGAAAACTTTACAGAACATAAGGAACAAATTTTACCATGAAAAATCTTTTATTAAATTAGCACAAGACAAGAGTCTTTCACATGAAAACTCTTGCATTAAATGTTATAAAAATGCAATTCTTGATAACAGTAGTTCGAGAGGTGTTGATAGCTTAGAAACGAACTACACAGAAAGCTGAAAATCGCACAGCTATGTAAAATAGAAGCTCAAAGGAAATTATCAGCTCATCCCCATTAACCAATTTAACGAAATGAGTTGAGATGTATTACGGTTTTCATAAAAGATTCAATACCGGAAGTCTTTCCAAGTCCTATTCATCAGCCAGAGGACACGTACTCCATGCTTCAATCCGTTTCCCCATCCCCTGTTTTCCTTAGTACGCTCCAAGAAACCACTTTCATCATTTTTGAAGGCCTCTGGTACCGAGTCGGCAGCAGAAGAGAGTTCGTATTTCATGTCCTGCAATTGCAAATTGCTTGAATAACCCCAGTTGACTTTGCTTTCTTTTCTCTCTTTATAGCAATTTGAACCCATGGAGTTTATGGGCCACGAGAGGAGTTTGAGTCTTGAGAAGGAATGATCTAGAGTTTTCTTCGGTGGTTGAGAGAGGAGGAAAGTTCTGAGAAGGTTCTCTTGTGGTGGAGAGAGGAAAGCGTATAAAGTAATAAAAAAATTTTAGGGGCTTAGGCCCTTGCGTCGAAGGCTCTCCGCGCACGGCCTCCGAGCAAATTACTAAAAAATTTTAAATAAAAAATAATAATATCAACAAAATAAATTACAAAATAAAATAAATAAATAAGAAAAAAATTTCCACTAGTCGGAGAGAATCTCTCCGTGAGACTCCATATCTCACGAAAAGTCCTCCATGCACGGAGAGTTTCACTCTTTCAAAAGGAGTTTGAAACGAGTTTTTTTTTTTTTTTTTGAACACCCTCTTTTGAAAAGTCAAAAGGAGGTAAGTCCTTTTGAAAGTAGGGTTCTAGCCTCTTTAGAAGGAGATACTATCTCTCCATGGACGGAAAAAAATTTTATTCCTTTTTTTTATTTTTGAGGGATAATTTTGTTCATATTATATTTTGATATAAAATTCTTCTTAATTCTTTTATGGTAAATTTTAATTTTTAATTTTAATTAATTAAATAATATTTATATATTTAATTTTTCTAACTTTCTTTTATTTTATTTGGTTTAATAAAATAATATTTATACATTCTTTATGTGGCATTTGTTAAACTTGACTTAAATAATATTTATTTTTAATTTTAAATCACATTAATTTAATTTAAAAATTTTATGATAAATTTTTTTCTATTTTTGCTTGCAATTCCTTCTTTTTTTTTGTAATAATCTTTATATTTAGTTTCGTTTCTTTATTATATAATATAGTATTGACTTTCAAGAAGTGAAGTAGTGTGTAAAAATAGAGAAATATTGCAGTAGAGGTAACATTGCAATGAATCGACGTGTGAAAATAGTGAAATGGAGTGTGAAAAAATGCTACAGTGTGATTGAATAGAATAGCTTACCGTTGTCAAATCAGTTTCATGTGAAAAACTATGTGATAAAAATGAATAGTAAATCTCACATTGTCTCTTTTAATATAAGGAGGGATAATGAAATCAAAAGATACAGCAAATAGGACTCATTTGTTAGATATCAATAGTAAAAAGAACTCTCAAAATCTCCAAAGAGTTGCTCCTAGATAGACGCTTGCTATCTTTCATCAATTTTTATCTATTAAATTTAAAATATTTATAAACATTTTAAAATTTAATTATTGTTATTAACGTCTTTCGTTTCATAGTACCATGAGATTTTTATGTTCCTTGGAGCTTAAGAGGACTTCATTTTGAATGACCTTTTACTATAATCAAATAGAAACTTATGTTTCAGTTTCAGTTTCAGTTTATGTTTTTTGTGCTATTTTTATCTACAGTTTTTATATATACAACCACTTTTAAAATAGACAAGGGTAATTATATTACCACTTCAAATTTTATTAAGTACACCACAATTTTCTTGTTTACTAAAATATCCTTAAGTAAAATTACATAATTAGGATTTCAATATACTTTTTAATTAAATAAATTATTGTTATATCACAAATGTAAAACCTGATTTCCTTCTTTCTTTTTCCTTAACATTTTATTGTTCATAGTTTTTTCGGCAGTTTTTACGTTCCTCAACGACGGCAAGATAATTTTTTTTCTCAATGTATGAATTTATTTTGTCAATTTAATTGTCAAGTTTGAAAATTAAGGATTTGATTTTTTGTTAAATCAAACAAATTTATTATGATTTTAAATAAGTATGTAAGATTTTGAATTTGTGTTTCATTATTTATTGGATTTTAATGCACGAGATTTGTCAGTTTCTTTAGATTTTTGTATATGTCTAACTTCTTATAAAAACGTCAGTGAGGGACTACCGTAGATGCAACAGTAAATTAATCTAATTTTACTGTGCGTGATGTCATTTTTCATTTTCGTATTTTTTGAAAAATTTTGTTTATGGTGATCTGGCAAATGTTTTTCCACACGTATCGTATTATCACCATTAAAAAAATAATTTTAATATATATAAACTGTCATGAGCAAAAAAATAAAAAAAAAACTCTGCATAGTGCGGAGAGTTGGAGACTATCTCTCCGCACTGTGCGGAGAGATAGTCTCCAACTCTCCGCACGGTACGGAGTGCACTCTCCGTACTGTGCGGAGAGATTTTCTTTCTCTTTTTTTTTTTGGTAATTTTTTTCTTCTTATTTTTTTGCTTCACTCTACTTTTCTCCATTTTTTAGGCAATATCTATTTTTCCCTATTTTTTCGACATAGTTTATATAAATTGCCATGAGCACAAAAAAAACTCTCCACACTATGCGGAGAGATGGTGTTAGAGACCATCTCTCCGCACTGTGCAGAGAGTTGGTCTCTAACTCTCCGCACGGTATGAAGAGATTTTCTTTCTTTTTTCTGTAATTTTTTCTTCTTTTTTTCACTCTTTCTCACTTTCCCTACTTTTCTCTATTTTTTGGGCAATATTTATTTTTCCCTACTTCTTCAACATAGTATATATAAACTGCCATTAGCAATAAAAACAACAATGAGGCAAAGAATTTTGTTTATGAATGTTCTTCCACACGCATCGTGTCATCACCATTAAAAAATTAATATATATAAACTGCCATGAGCCCCAAAAAAAAAAAAAAACTCTCCACACTGTGGGGAGATCATCTCTCCAACTCTCCGCACAATGCGGAGAGTTGGAGCGCACTCTCCACATAGTACGGAGAGATTTTATTTTTTTCGGTAAATTTTTTTCACTCTCTCTCTCTCACTTGGCCAATATCTATTAATATAAACTGCCATGAGCGCAAAAAAAAAAAAAAAAAAAAAAAAAAAAAAAAAAAAAATAATCAAAAAAAAAAAAATTAAAGAGAAAAATGACTAACCAAATG